CTTCACTTTATAGTTTTCTTGGCCTTGTTTCTAGAAGTAGCCGAAACATGCAATGAAAGTAACAGTAAATATCACAGTAGAGTGGTAGATTTAAGGTGATTTCAGGTGTGTGGCCAAGCACATGTCGTGAACTATGTTCTCAAGTCCTCACCAATTCTGCAGTTCAGTAATCAGGACGGAGAGACACTCAAACGCACAACTAAATATTCGCCACAAACACATGCACAAGGCAGGAAAGAGGAATGACCTCTCTCTCTCTAATGCATTTTCATTTGCATAATATGTAGGGAATGCATAAAATGGAGCAAACCAACTTGCAATCCTTCCGTGGTTGGCAAGCAGAAGAATGAAAGACTGAGTATGACGCATTTTTCAGAAACTTCTTACTAGAAAACTCGCAACGCCCACGCAAAATTTTCTTAGAAGCAAGAAAAAAGAAAGATTGAAATTATCCGGGAAGGATCAAATTATTCTTTACAAGCCACTGTGGGCTTCACTTCCAGTTTTTCTGCTGCATAAAAAAGTTTCCATCAGAAAAATAATTCCTGAAAATCTCATTCTCTTCCATTGAAATCCGTACTGCCACTGAAAAAGAGTCATATATTTTCGCAGTCCTCGCTTTGAACTGCCATCTGGAAGCACCTTTGTCGTACTGTGAATGAGGCGCCGTTGGCCAAAGCGATCCATCTTTCCTCGAAATTACAGTAGTTTTGAGGCAAAATTTTTGGCTTGGAAGCATTTTTCTCCTTCGTCTGTTCCGAGTTAAAATCGAGTTCGACAGATTTAGAGCTAGTCGAATCCAAAACCTCGCATTTAAAAGCGAAATTGTACTGCACCATTTCCATCTGAACTCAAGGAACAGGCATCTTCTGTGGAAAATGTGCAGTATAAGCAGTGAAATCAGATAGCTGAAAATTTGCATTCGGCATCATTGGGTTGGGTGCCTGATAAGGAACATGAGGCGCAAAACCACCGTGCATAGCCTGAAATACCATTATCTTTGTTAGCGACGGTAAGGCACAAAAAAACACTGATAATAAGTATCACATGAGAAGCATAAATATCGCTATTAAATGAAACAAATATCTTTGGCATACAACCATTTTTACCTTTTTAACTGCAAACTGCACTTTCGAAGGTTAGGCGTATTAAAATCAGTAAGCCAATGCTTATTAAAATCAATGGGTTGTATTATGAAAGACAAAAAGCTTTTTTCAATCGAGTTGGCAAGAAATGCCAATTCCTGAAGGATACTAGAGCGAAAATACCGAAAACGTACCGCACTACTGGGTTGAAACCTTGGAAATCGTTGCTGATACATCGGATTCAGTAATGATGACCGGTGCGATGACTGGAAAGTTCGTGAAGCTGATGCTGCAGGAGTACCAGCATTACCACTTCCACTTGTATGGCCACTATCACTGCTTTCTTCCAGCTCCGGCGATAAGCAATCACTTTTGCAATGGACCTGCAAGCCATAATTTTAGAGAAGCCCAAACATCACATTAGTCAAAAATTAAAACACAAATTTAGCCAAGTTTATAAACAACGAATCGCTTCCAGTTTTGTCTTTATTATGGCTGGTGTTTTCGGGTTTTTTTTCACCCCGAAATTTGCGGCTTTTCCTTCAGAATTAAGCTAAATTTATTGAAATGAGTGAAAAATGTGACTTCCGAAATTAATCGATTTCCTGTCGGGTTACTTTGAGCACTAGTAAAACCTTTTTTTTAGCAAATTCACCTAAATCCTCTAGACTTTCTTTTCCAGCAGTGATTTGTTCTACAGTGTTTGAGTAAATATTACTTGCTAGGGACTAATTTTTTAATGAATTCATTTCTCTTCTGGATGACAAGTAGTTCAAAGAAGGACTTGGCATAACTATATTTAGCTTATTCTTAAATCGAAAACATTGAATGGATAGTTACTGTGTCTTCACTATGTTGGCGATCTTGGAAATTTTGATACTAAAATGCGCTGCAAAGACTACAAATATGCTGCAAAGCGTGCTTCACTCCAGAAAGAAGTGAAGCACGCTTTGCAGCGTATTTGTAATCTATTAATTTCAGATAAAATAGTACTGTGTAAGGCGGTAGAAATTTGGAACTTGAGTCGTAACTAGCCGTAATTTGAACTTAAACTGCTCTGAGTAAAGAACAAGATTCGTTCACCTGCACTGCCAATAAACAAAATTTGACTCATCGTTGTCACGAAGCGGATAAAGTGGTACTGAGGGCATGCACTTTGGGCGTGGAAAATAGCGCCCCAAAAGTATGACTTTCCGTCCCCGGTCAAGAACCTTCCACTGGTAAGTTCACTCTTTTGGTATTTCCCGTTGTGACGAATTGTCCTTCCTCGCAGCGCCTGGTATCCTCTCTCTGGATTGATCGGCGTTTCTCTGCCTGTATTTGACCCTCTACTTCGAATTGCTTTTCAACCTGCTCGTTCAGCCCAAGCGTCCACAAAGTTAAAGCTCCCGTAAGCGTTACAC